AGGCCACCAGAGCTCCCCTAGGTTCTTACACTCTTGCACTTAAGCGCTTATCTGCTGAAGTACAGATTCCAATCCAATGGAAGCTGCTAGAACTGGCTGGGTCAAGAAGTTCTCTGTAGCTCCTTCTGCTCCTGTTCCAGCTACTAAGAGACAAGTTAAACTTGACTCATCTCTTATTATGGGAGATCATTGTGCAAGAAGGGGAAAGAAAGCATCTTTTACCCTTTTGCAACGTTTTCATTTTCTACTTTAATATTGTATTACTTGGTTTAACAATGGGAAGATAGGGGCAGCAGAAAGGTCCTGTGGGGCATAAAAAAGGATCATGAAAGGGCTTTTGAAATTGTCTTTGCCAGGGACAGACAGACAGAAATAGAAATAGTGTTATAGGGAATATTTACCAAACACTCTTTGACTTTGGCATGTCTTTGTAATGTATCATTTTCAAGACCGTGAGCTTCCAAATGCAGAGAGCCATACCTATTCATCACAGGACATCTGAATAGGCTTGAACTGCCTGCCTGTTAGTTACTGGTCACAAATTGCTTGTACCATCCAGGTACCTTTTATTGCCTGTTAGAACCAGCATTTCATAAGCCAGGATTTGTCTAGCTTCTAAAAATTTAGGCATTTAACCATTTTACCTCACAGGAAGTTTACCTTTCATGGTATCTAAATTGAAACAGAAAGAAATTATTGAGGATCCTATCTGGTTAAGGAGGCATTGTTATCTTCACCTAGATATCCAGATTAAAATACCATCCCCTCTACTCACCCAGTTTAAAATACTAGTGCAAATTACTCTTGTTCCCTAGTGTCCTTGTGTCTAGCTGGGTCAGAACTAGGTGCACAGGGATCAGCCTTGCTTCCTGAATTCCATTATCAATGATGACTACTAAATATTGACATTTACACGTGATTTAGAAGTTATATTGTAAAAGATGTTATAGATTGAATTATGTCCCCCCAAAACATGTACTGTAAATCCTTTATACATGTGGTTTAAGAAATCAAAGCTCAACTCCCATTTGAAAATGGATTGTCTTAGTCTAACATAGAGTTTATGTTTAGTCAATCTCTTGTTATAAAATAGAAGATTAAAAAGAAGAGAAACTAAGACACAAGGAGATCAGGAAATATACATTGAAGACAAAGGACATTTCTCCAAAATCCTACATAGGGAGTTTGTGCCTTCTAAACTGTGAGAACATTGAATATACCACAGACTGCCAAAAAACATATGCAGCCTGTACAGTTCCTAAGAAGCAAGAACGGGGTGACTTAGATCTCACATACTTTAGACGGGTCAGAAGGGACCAATCCCTGCAGATTATCATGCTTGGAAAAGCAGAGGGTCAGTGAGATAGAGTGACAACTATGGGATCAAGTACAGCAATGGTTTATGAGCTTGGTGCTGGGTCCTCATCAGTGGTTCGGACTGCTCTACAGAAGAGAATGTCTGTAGAACAGACTTGGGGCCAACTCAATGGCACCTAACAACTGTGAGAAGATAGATTTCTGTTAATGCGATAACTACGACAAGGGATCAAGCAATTAGAAAGTCTATTCTGAGTAGGGTCTAAGAGGCTACGTGTTTTTGATTCAGTAATTTCCATGATGGAATGAACTGTTTGAATTTTAAAACCTGGAAACCAGATTTATTCTAACTCGGATTTTGTCACTCCCTATGACTGGCTTTTTTTTCTCTTCTCTGCTAAATTGTATTTCTTTTGCTCTTGTTGAAAATACGCACAGCAAAACATGCACCAATTCAAATTTCTATTTGTGCAGGTTAATTTTTTTTCTTCTCTATTTTGCAACTATTTTTACCCTCCTTGTCTGAGTTCTTTTTCATTAATAAACTAGTAGCTCGCAAAGTTCCTGTCTAACTTCAAGTTGCTTTTGTTAGTTTTATCCCCTATAGTTACTTCAAGACCATAATGCTCAAAGCAGACTTTTTTACCTAGTTAAGGTAAACGGTTTGGCTTAACGATTATTTCAGGGGTATTTTGATTGTGATTTTTCTGGAGTTTTTTATTTTCTGTTTGTTTTTCTTAGCCATGCTAAGGGAAATGTGATGGTATCTTACTGTGGATTTGGGTTTCCTATTCAACAGTTTAAGGGACTCACTCTGGTAGCCTAGTGGGAAGGAGAGGCACTGTCATCCCAAAGGCATGCAATGCTGTTTGAATCCACAGGTGCTGCATGGAAAGAGATGGCTACTCTCCTCCCATGCCTTTGAAACTTTGCTGGAGGGTCAGCTATGAGTTGGTTCAGGCAGTGCACAGAGACAACAATTTATGCACATTTTTGTTTAGTGTTCCCTCTTTCCATTTACTCAACTTTCCTGCCCCACTTCCTGCCTTCTGAATTTTGTTTTGGCCAAAGGTCTCCTCTGGTTTATCGGTCTGAGAATCAAGTTCCTCATAGGTTTCTTTCTTCATAGATCTATTGTTACACTGTAAGGGGATTGTGGAGAGTGGGTTCAGTTTAGCTTGAAGAATGATAACAATAGTCTTGGGATTCCACCAGTCCATCAGACCAGTTAGTCTGATTTGGTGTTATTTTTACTTTTACCCTACATTTTCTTCCCACCTGAGCAAGATATACGCCATCAGAGTGGTGAGCAGTGGTGGCCAGGCATCATTGAGATGTTCTGTTGTTATTAGCCAAATGAGGTTGTGATTCTTGTGGTCCTTTCATGCTTTGGACAAACTGTTTTCTTGGATCCTTTTCTTCACTCTGTATGTTAAGAGACCAACATTTTATGACTGTTTGCAAGGGTTTTTAGATCCCTGTTGCTACAAAGTAGAATGTAAAACAGTCTTTATGGACTTTTGTGCCAATTGACCTATGTCTCCTTCTACATTAAGATCTTAGTCCACAGATTCAGTTTCTCAAAGTGTTAAGGCTAATAAATTTGCATAACTTTACAACTTGGTTCTGGTCGTGTAGTGTGTTAAGTAATAAAGGTCAGCAGTTCAAATGTATCAGCTACTCTGAAGGAGATCAATGGACAGTCTCTGTGGTTTACAGCCTGGGAAACCTGATGGCAGTTTGCTCTGCTCTGTGTGTGTCCCTATATGTTCTATAATACCTGAAGATATTTGCAGCACAAACTCTTGCCAGCCTTTATTTTATATTTATTTCCTTTTACTTTTGTGCCCTTCCCAGTGTCTTGCTTAACCATGGTCACGCTGTCTTGCCCTCTATTTTTGTGGTGTATTGCCTTTCCCTTCAACCAAGTTAATACAGGTCTACTAGTTCCAGTAGCTTAGCAGTAAGAAATCGTGCTAACAGCCCAAAAGGCATATGGTTCAAATCCACAGCTGCTCAGTGGAAGATGGACAATCTCCTCTTGTACTATTTATTGCCTCTGAAAACCAGCTGATGAGTAGTGAAACTTTGCACTAATAAAATACTAAATTATTTCCTGCTTTTTCTTGTAATTGCTGTTTATATTACTACCAGTCTGATACTGTTCTCTTGACTGTTTTTTTCCTTAATATTTGTGTACAACTGAGTGATAGTCATAAATACCTTTATTCCTAACTTTCTTATCCGTACAGTGAAAAGAATTTTCCTTCAAAATTTTTTTTCTGGTTCAGAATCTTCCGTTGCATTTGTTACAGTTTCTATTTCTTTTGTTGTTGTTCTAGTCTCTTTAAACATGTTCCTTCCTGACCTTGCTTTTTTGAAGTGACTTTTTTAAATTGAGATCTTAATGAAAGTTTATTGAGAATATGGATTTCCATTCATTCACTGTTGCACATTTCCCTCTCTGCCCATCTCCCCCTCTGGTCTGCATTTCTCTTTGGGGGGAGGGGGGATCTTTCATTGTTATACAATTCCTGCCCCCTACTCTATTTTACTATGCAGCTCTTATTCTGGACAGTTGTCATATAAATAATGCCTACTCAAATATTCCGTTTAAGCAGTTTTCTCCCTCATTTGTTTCAATGCCATGTACAGTATTTATCCCTTCTCTTTTTAGTTTCCCCTCAACCCCAACGTCAGTCCTGTTTTTTAACAGTGGCATTATGCACTATTTGTCCCTTCATGACTAATATATCTCACTCAGCATAATGTCCTCCAGGTCACCCATTTTGTATAACTAACGTGCCTTTTGGGGTGGGGAGAGAAGGCAAACTCATTCCTATAAAGTCACTTCAGAACAGAACTGCCACTCTCCTATGGATTGACTGGTGGATTTGAACTGCTGCTCTTTCTGCCAACAGCCAAGTAGCTAGCTAATCACTGCACCACCAGAGTTACTCTTGAAGTATATAGATTAATTATTTTGTAGAATGGCCTTTATTTTGGATTCATCTGGAGACTCTTTGGTTGTAAATCTGTCAGCGACATGCCATAATGCTTATCCTAATTTTGGCCAGGTTTGGGAGTTTTTGTTGTTGGGGGGGGGTTCCCCCCTTTTTATTTCTAGTGTTCTGGGTACTTTTTTGATAGTATAAAAATGAAGTAAGCACTTTATTTGAAAGCATGATGTTTAATGCTTAATAATGTTATGCTTTATATTGTAATTTAATATAAAATGTTAAAGGCTTGTTGATATCTTATAAATGCTTATATTTGTTGTTATGGACTATCAAACCATAGCTGACCCTCCAGTGGGTTTTCAGAAGCAGTTGAATTGCATGGGGGGACACTGCCCATCTTTCTCCAGCAGAGCAGCTGGTGGATTTAAACTGCATGCTTCCATGATTGCAGCTTGCAGTGCAGCTCCTTACTACTAGGCCACCAGAGCTCCCTTATAAATGTTTATGTCTTTCTTTATGTCCTTCTTTCCTAGTTTTCTCCTCAGAAATTAAAAATATATAGCTGCAATTTGTTTGCCTAATCATGGTTATTCTCTATTACTGTACTATGGAGTCCGCTTTCTCCACATAAGATAATGTAAGATATGGTTTGTGATGTAATGTAAGATATGCCATTGACTCTGAGATAGTAGATGTTAAATGCTATCATGGTTCCCTTCCCAGAGTAAGCTGCACATGGAGGGCTTCCGGAGCCTAAAGGAGGGAGAAGCAGTGGAGTTCACCTTTAAGAAGTCTGCTAAGGGCCTGGAATCGATCCGTGTCACAGGACCTGGTGGGGTGTTCTGTATTGGGAGTGAAAGACGGCCAAAAGGAAAGAACATGCAGAAGCGCAGGTCAAAAGGAGACAGGTATGGCTTGCAAGGCAGCTTAGGGAGCCGGCTGGGAGAGACTGAGTATGGGAAGGACTCTCCCAGTACTACTATTCTCATGGATCTGATTGTCAAAGGTAAAATGAAGCCTGGTGTCTCTCGGAACATTTGGGTGTTTTGGGGTGGGGTGCAGGCCACATATGTGGAAGACAAGGAGGACAATATGTAGGGTACACACTTGAGAAGACTTAACTCTTAGGAGAAATAATTTTGCTTTATGACCTCTAGCCTCAATTGTTAAGTGGACAGAGTGACACTAATATCCTACTTATCTTGGGAAATTAAAGGGAACTGTGTATGAAATACAAAAAGTAAGTGATAAAACAAGGTAATATATATCTGTTGTATTTTCACTATCACTTGGAGCCAGTGACTTATTCTTTGCAGTTCAGTACTGTGAATTGACTCTGAAGAAATCATCTCGACAATTAGAGATTTTTACATGATCGCAAAGAAAATCAAGTTGTATTCTTCTCTATGGGAGGAAAGTGGGCTTAAAGAAGGAAGGTGGTGCATCAGGTAGACTTCTGGAGAAGCAGAACTAACAAATTTATTTTGAGGAATTGACTCACACTATTATAGGTTCTGAAAAGAATCCTAGTGGCATAGTCCATAAATGTGAGTTGTTCACCAAAAGAGCAGCGGTTCATAAACTACCAGTCTTTTCTCAGAGAAAGATGGGCAATGTCAGCCTCAAAGAATTTACAGCCCTGGAAATCTGATGGAAGGAAGGTGTGAGTTGGAATCAACTTGACAGTGGTGGGTTTGATTTGGTTTTATTGTTGGTTCTGGCATGTTACAATCTTGAGTTTAGAATTTTTGGGGCAACCCCACAAACTGGAAGCACAGGGAGGGTTTCAGACATCTGGGCTCTTATAGCCTGAACTGACATAATAATTGCATCCCAGGCAGTGTGTCATTACTATGACAGAGTTATTACGTTGTTGTTGTTGTTGTTGTTGTTGTTGTTCTTGTTCTTGTTCTTGTTCTTGTTATGTGCCCTTGAGTCACTTGCGACTCATAGCGACCCTGTGTACAACAGCCCTAAACTCTGCTCTGTCCTGTGCCAGTTGTACTGTCTCTGACATTCCCATCCCTATAACTCCAGTCACTGACTCAATCCACCTCATAGAGGGCCTTCCCCTCCTGCGCTGTCCCTCCAACCTCCCAAGCATGATGTTCCTCTCCAAGGACCGTCCCTCCTTACAACATGTCCAAAGTATGTTAGTCAGAGCCTCAGAATCCTTACCTCCAAGGAGCCGCCCGGTTTCACCCTTTCCAGGGTGAATCTGTTTGTTTTCCTAGCAGTCCATGGTACTCTCAATATTCTTCTCCAGCACCACAACTCAAAGGCATCAATTCTCCTTCTATCCTCTCTGGTCATTGTCCAACTCTCTGATGCATAACAGGTGATTGCGAAGACCATGGCCTGTATCAGACGCACCTTAGTCTCCAGAGAGATACCACTGCTCTTCAGCACTTTGGATAGGTCCCTAACAGCAGACTTTCCTATAACAATACGTCTTTTAATTTCCTGGCTACTGGTGCCAAGAGTGTTGACTGTGGAGCCAAGCAAACTAAAGCTGGGAACAATTTTAAGACATAAGATATTACATTACTATGACAGATATGACTGACATATTAGTATGTCAGTCATATATATTGTAGTAAAATATTTTACTATGTCAGTCTGTCATTACTATGACAGAGCCTAGACCAAAGGTCAGGGCATGCCTTGTGACCCGTTCTCACTCCTTTCTCTCCATTCTTATTTTCTTATTTTCTATTAGGTGCTACAATTGTGGCGGCCTAGACCATCATGCCAAGGAATGCAAGCTGCCACCCCAGCCCAAGAAGTGCCACTTCTGCCAGAGCATCAACCATATGGTAGCTTCATGTCCCCTGAAGGCCCAGCAGACCCCCGGCTCTCAGGGAAAGCCAGCCTACTTTCGAGAGGAAGAAGAAGAGATTCACAGCCCTGCCCTGCTCCCAGAGGCCCAGAATTGAGCCACAGTGGGTGGGAGCTATCAGGAAAGTTTAAGGAGCAAGCATCAATCGGCAGAGTGGAGAAAGTGGGACAGGGTGAGAAGGGGGCAGTGGCACTGTCATGTATCTCAGACCAAGGTCCACAGCATCACCCCCTCTTCCCTCCTAAGTGGGAGGAAGGAGTGAGGCACAGGAACTCCAACCGTGCTTTACCCAAATGAAAGTGAGGGCTTTCAGGCGAAATCCCCCTCGAGTGCCAGCTTTTGTCTGAGGACCCTCTCCCAGAATCTTTGGCTTTTGAAAGTGGCCCAGATAGCCTTTTAATGAAGGATACATCATTTCCCGTGGAAAAAGACTAAGCATGAGACAAGCCTGATAGTCACAACCCAAAAGCCACTCCATTCTGTGGGAGGGGAATCTATTAGCTTTAGGGCAGATGCTTTCCACATTCTGTCCTCTCATAACCCCACTCTTGGGACAGGGTGCTGGGAACTGTGCCAAGGCAACGGGTTGTGATGACAGGCAAAAGGGGTGATTGGGAACAGCTGTAGACCTGCTGCTCCTAAATTCATTCTCACCCCCTTCTGGGCCAATAGGGTTTAATTTATTTGCTCCCTTGGATAACTGCACCTTGGGTCCCACTTTCTCCAGGATGCCAACTGCACTAACTATGTGCGAATGACGTATCTTGTGCATTTAAACTTTTTTTTCTTAATATAAATATTCTGGGTTTGTATTTTTGTATATTTTAATCTAAGGCCCTCATTCCTGCACTGTATTCTCAGGTACATGAGCAATCTCAGGGATAATTTGGCAGCAGCTCCAGGTCTGCACAGCAGGAATACTTTTCGTTGTTGTTTATCACCTCAAAGAACAACTGTTTGGAGTATATAGTCTATTGAACTACCTCATTTTTGCCAATGAGAGCTGGCTTTTCTGCCATAGTGTCCTCTTGAAACCCCTCCACCTTGACAATGTGCCATGGGTGACTGGGTTGGGTTGCCCCATGATATGATCTCCTACTGGAAGAATGGGAATTTGTGTGAGTAAGAAGGTGGTATGAAGGAGGTAGGAGAAGCTAGGCCAGGTGAAAGGCTCAGAGAAGAAGCCAAGGTTCAGAAAAGTTTATCTATTAATGTAAGGATTCCTGTTCCAAATCTTTAATCCTGAGGCACCAGATTCACTCCACACATCAGATCCATCCTTCACTGGATTTGGCTAGGCCTTCCATGCACAACTGGGATGGGGGAAAAGGGATGTGTGTGTGTTGTGTGTGAGGAAATCTGAGTTGGTAGCATGTTTTAAGAAATTCTGAACTTTTTCTGCTTGGCTTCCAGAGAGACTCTTAATCTAGGGCTTCTTTGTGTGCCCAGAGCCATTATCCTGACCTGCTGCCGAAGTGTCATAGTAGCTAACAGATAAAAGGGGATTTCGTTTACATGCTGTGAGATCACTACAAACCTACCTCACTGTGTTGAAACGGGGCAAATGCAATAGAACGCATTGGGTGATGTGTGTCTGGTCCTGGGTTCTTGTCTCCCCCAAATGCTGCCCCCTCTAGTTATTGTATTTGTCTGGGTAGAACTTCATGAGTCGCTGATTTGGTGATTGCTAGGTGGCCTCGTTTGTGTAAATATAATGTGTTGGTCTTTTGGGATTTTTTTATTTTTCTTTTAATTGTTTACAAACTTCTTTTGTATTGAAAGAAAATTAGCCAAAGCATCTTCGGCAGAAGGTTCTGCACCAGGCAAAAAGAACTGAAACATAAGCTTGGGGACCCTTCTTGAAGTGGGGCCTTGAACATCCTCTCTTTTGTGTTCCCCTTTCCCTATTTCCTCCCCAGCTTACCTCCAAACCCATTCATATATACATTTACTTTGGGTATTATTTCTAAACTCTTAATCATTTTGTTTCAAGACCTGAAGATGCTCATCCCTATTTTTTCCAACCTTTGTAGTCATAACCAGGCCTTGATGTGAATTATGCCAAAACTTAATAGTATTTGAATGTATCAAAGCTACTTAATCTCCAGTCATTGTGTATAGAGAAACAATGGGGACTTCCACAGAGAAAGTGGGGAGACCAAGACAGGGAAGACGAATGTATTTCCAAGTCACTCAGGAACTTTTATGCAGGTGTAAGAAACTTATGTCAAAGCGGCCACACGATTGTTTTAATAGGAGACGGACGAATGTAACTCCATGTTTACTGCTAGAAACCAAAGCTTTGTGTGAAATCTTGAATTTATGGGGAGGGAGGGAGGGTAGGAAAGTGTCTATCTGTTTATTCTTTCCCTGATCCCTTCACCTCACTCCTCAACTGAACTACAGGAAGCTCGGAGCTCTCGAGCCCCACTGGGCTTTGGTGTCCCCCATCACTGGGTGATTTGTTTAATGGTTTTGTTGTGTTAGGTACTTCCTTTCCCTGCTATCTTTGTATAACACATGCTGATCCTTTTGCCTTCCCTTCTCTTTTCCCTGGGAAAATAACAATGAATAAAGACTTATTGGTACTGAGCCTTTGTCTCCTGGTCAGTTATTTAAGGTCATCTTCTCCCAAAGAATTCCCACCTCAGATTGATTGGATCTTAGAAGAGCCATTGAACAGAAGAGTTTTCTGTTCAACCACTGTTAGTGCTGAATCTTGAAAGTTCAGTCCTCTTAGAACCTCATTACAGTGCATTCTCCACCTCCCTACCCCCCCCCCCAATCAAAGCCTCCTTTCCTTGGAAGCTGCCACATTCAAGAGGGGATTAGGGGTTTGGCATGCATAAGAATGGTGTGCCACTAGCTGGGAAGAAAAGATGGGGCCCTGGTTTAGGGCTTGAGACCCTAATACTGTTCAATACTCTTCAACATCCTTTACAAATAACTCCCTGTACCCTATCCCAAGAGGAAAATAAGATGTGGAACTGGGGACACTAAAGTCGGAAGGCAACACTAACTGGTGGACTATGGACACAGGATTTGAGCCTAAAGTTACTAGCCTGCTGATACATTGTATATCTTAATCTTTAGCTCCCCTAAAGGAAGGATTTTTTTTTTTAAGGAAAAGCTTTTGATTGGAGATTATCAATTACTGCATATTTAAAAAAAATAGAAGGAAATGGTTTAAATTAAATTCTCAAATTATGGCAACATTACCAGAGCCAGGATGAGAAGTTTCTGACAACCATGCAAGCACATCTAGCCCTTCGTTAATTGTAGAAAAGCCAAAACTGACACAGGATACTCATAACAGCAAAGTACTAGGTTACAGTAAACCTCCTAGGCCAAACACGTTAGCCACCAAGTTGCAAAGAAAGCACCAAGGATGAAAACATTTACAATACATAGGTAAATTACTCATCTCTAGGGATGAGGTCTGGTGACTTTGAGTAAGGAGTTCTGCCAACCCAAAGGCTTCTCCACAAGAGGTGAGCAATCTGAAATTTATAGCCTCAAAACCCCTTGGTGTATCAGCTATGATATGAATTGGTTCTGACTTAATGGCACCCTCTATGAGATGGATTGATTCGGTGACTGGGGTAATCGGGATGGGTGTGTCAGAGGCAGTGCGGTTGGCGCAGGATAGAGCAGGATTTAGGGCTGTTGTGCATAGGGTCGCTATGAGTGGCAAACGACTTGACGGCACATAACATCAACAGGGTTTTGATAATGTCCTTCAAGCAATCCTTTATCATGACTCATCTAAAATTTTTATTATTTGTGTGTGTGTGTACCATCAATTTGGGACTTATCTAAAATGTATGCAATACTCCAGCACCTCAACAAGAAAAAAGTAACCTAATTTCAAAAGGGGCACAAGATATGAAATTTAGATGGCAAACAAGTACATAAAATCTCTAGCTATTAGAGATGCAAATCAAAACAGCTATAAGACATCTCACTCCAGCAACAATAGCAGAGTTCAACAAGGCAGGAAACAACAAATGCGAGTGGGGTTGTAGAGATTGTAACTCTTATTCACTGCTAGTAGGAATGTAAAATGGTTTGACAACTATGGAAGGCTGTCTGAAGATTTCTCAAAAAGTTGGAAGTAACAAATAAATGCTGGCAGGGTTAGGAGAGATTGGAACTCTTATTCACTGCTGGTAGGAATGTAAAATAGTACAAACACTATGGAAGGTGGTCTCAAGCTGTCTCAAAAAATTGGAAGTACCATTTGGCCCAGCAATTTCACTACAGAAAATATACCCTAAAGAGACTAGAGCCAAAAAACAAAAAAAAAATCCCCAAAACAAAAGACCAGAGCCACACTCAAAATAGATGTATGTAAACCCATGTTTATTGGGTAATAGCAAAGAGAAAGAAGCAAGTGCCCATCAACAAATGATTGGAAAGAAAAACTATGGTACATTCACACAATTGACTATTACACAGCATTGAAAAACAATGAATTTGTAAAACTTACACAACATGCAGGAGCCTGGAGGATATTGTGCTGAGTGAAATATTTCAGTCACAAAAGGGCAAGTATTGCATAACACTGCTGATGTAATATAGGACTGACAGTTTGGGTAGAGAATGATAGTGAATACTGCGTTAGACCAGATGAGGGGAAGAACTGTCCAACAGAAATATATGATTAGACATTATATGTATGACAACAATCTGAACAAGGAGTGTATTGGGGGAAAGCTGGAGGAGGGGGAAAGAAAATGTGTAACAATAATTTTTATTTTTTCGAGCTAGAACTAGAAATACCATTTGACACAGCAATTCCACTACTGAAAAAAATGTCCTAAAAAAACAAGAGCCTTGACTCAAACAGATGTATTCATACCCGTGTTTATTGCTGTGTTCACAATAGCAAAGAGATGGAAGTAACCCAAGTAAGTGCCCACCAACAAATGAATGGCTAGGAAAACTGGTACATTTACACAATGGAATATTACGAAGAAAAACAATGAACTCATAAAACATTACATAATGTGGGTGAGCCTGGAAGACATGCTGAGTGAGAAATCTCAATCACAAAAGGACAAATGCTGCATAACACTGCTGTTAAAAAATAAGATT